TTACGAGAATCTGGTTTTGGATCATTTTTAAAACTTCCACCTGATAAGTCTAAGGATTCTCATTACCTGTTTGCATGAAGTAAAAGTAAACTGAAGCTTTAAATTTCATTTCTTAAAGTCATTTATCTTTCAAAAGGGTTCTTGAGGTTAAATAGAAAGAAATTCATTTTTCCACTTTTGTCAGCCCTCCTGAATATTCAAGTAAACACTCTATTAGATATTAGTAAAAACTGGACCATTGGATAATACAACTCAAGACTTTTTATTGGCTCAGCCATTATGGTATATGAGCCAATATACCATAACCTAATTTCTGTACATTGTTAAATTTGGTTTCTTCTCACAAAATAAAGTCGAGAAGATTTGTCAAATATCTTGGGGGCATTTTTTAAATAAAACAATTATTCCACTCTCGCTTGTTGGATATGAGATGATTATAGCCAACTCGGTGCTACACGCCTCGTTGGCTTCTATCATCTCATATCCAACGCGCGCTCGTGGAATAATTGTTAATTAGCTTGATCTTTGTTTAACTAAGACTTTTTCCTTGTGTTTTCATTTCAGGAATTGGCAGCAAGTGGGGAACTCACATCTACATTACCAACAAAAGAAGATCTTAATAAAAGGTAAATATCAGCCAAAAAATAAAAAGATAAAAAAGAGAAAGGTTTCATCTGAAATTTTTCTGACCAAAAAAAAAAAAGAAAAAGAACATTCAATCTAATGAAGGGCAAATGCTCAAAACATCAGCTTTCGAAACTCTTTGCCATGGCCAGTGTACATAATCAATTCACAATACTTGTGTTGTAGAGAACCAGACTGCTGTGTGGGGGGTCAAGCCCCAGACCAGACCAACTCTCAGGGTCTTAAAATAACTGAGGAGAATGTGCTGCCTTTGCTACACTTATATAACCACTGCAAATGATGAGACATTCTAGTCTTCTCGGATAAGGATGAAAAACCAGTCTCCGTCTCCTGCATCTCTTCTGTACTGGTTAGCAGGGGATGCCAAAGAACCCAAACACATCACTAAGAGTAGGGAATGTAGCTCCCAGTGTTATGGTCTGGCCTTGTTTCTGATTATTGGGGGAATCCGGAAAATTTTCCTTCAAAAACTGTGAACAGCTTAATGCAGTCTGGCTGAAGTCCCCCGCAAACAGGAATGGACATAATTTTTAGTTTTATTAACTGAAACTGATAAGGCGAAATTGTCTTTCAATACCCCTCAGCGACACAGTTAGAAACTTAGCCTGATCAAAACATGATTCAGTTCAATGGGCACGCCTTCATGCGATATTCTGCATGTGTCACACTACTGTTAACTTTATTTTCAAGGTTACAGTCTCTCATCTCAGCTGCTCCCGTGATGGTTTTCATGAAAGGAAATCCTGAGGTGAGTTTAGATTTCACTAACTCATCATGAAGTTTAGCTGCATTGCCATAGATGGCAATGTAATGCAGTGTTTTCCAGGAGCCCAGGTGGCCTGGGTTTTCACCGCTTCCTTGTTTCTGGGGTGCCAGCCACTTTAAAAGCAGTTAGACCTTATGCCTATTGGGTTTTTACAAGTATCTGTCTTGATCTGCAGAATGATATAGATGGTTGCATTTTTCATGGCACACTTCTAAGAAATCTTCAGAGAACACCTGCAGTGTCCACATTTAAAATGAAAAGTCAGGCAAAACTGACAAGTCTGTTTGGTGCCATATGTGAATAGGTTGTGGTAACTTAAAATTATTCAATTTTTTTCCATAGGGTCCAAGGTGTGGTTTCAGCAGGAAATTGTGTGAAATCTTGAAAAAGTATCCCAGGTGGGTAAAATTATATTCTAATAGAGAGCAGAATTTTTGGTTTTTGTTCAGGTGTTCTAATCAAGGCTTTTGGAAAGTCAACTCAGATTTTCAACATAATTTGTTTTATCATGAAGAATGATTTAATGACTTTTCATTCCTTCATAGTGTCCCATTTGAGACTTTTGATATATTGGAAGATCAAGAGGTAAGCTATTATCTTCCTTGGGAACAACAACAACTACAACAAAAACTATGTCAAAAGTTACAACAACTGCAATGGGAGAAGCAAACTAAGATTGAATCTCTTTACATCTCAGGTTCGCCAGGGTCTCAAGACATATTCTAACTGGCCAACTTATCCACAAGTATATGTGAAGGGAGAACTAATTGGCGGATTAGACATCATCACGGTATGTGTGGCATCCACCATGAACTATTCCCCCACACATTGCTGAGGGAGCACACTAAACACCCCTACCCTTGTAGTTCACAGCAAAAGGGGTGATGAGTGAGGGATTCATGCAGCTTTTCTTGCTGGCAAACCAGATTGTAATATTTCAATCTAAATCAGAACTTCCAAGTAATCTTAGACTAGGCTTGTAACTCTGGGACCTTTTTTCCTTGTGTCTACCTCTTACCTGTGGGAGACGCAGTGGCTTCATGGTTAGTACACTTGACTATGGATTGAGTGGTCCTGGTTCAAGCCTTGGCCAGGGACACTGTGTTGTGTTCTTTGGCAAGACACTTTACTCTCGGTCTCTCTTTACTCGGGTGTTTAAATGGGTACTAGCAAATTTAATGTTGGGGGGGGGGGGTAACCCTGTGATTGACTAGCATCCCCTGCAATGGCAAGGGGAAGTAGAAATACTCCAAGTCACTTCATGCAGCAGAAACTGGAGTTAAGCCCTAGCCTGATGGGGCCACTTGGCTCGTAAACAGACTTCACCTTACCCTTTACCTAGAGCACCATCAATATTGTGCATCTCTTACACTCCTTCCCAGTGGTTAAAATTGGGTTTTTGTACACAGCAGGACACCAAACAACTGCTGCTTAAAGTATCATTGTTCTTATTCTCCCTTATAATTTCTTGGATAGTTTATAATTAACTTAAATCCTTTTTTCCTACAGGAACTTGATCAGGATGGAGAGTTGGAAAGCACCTTGACTGGCTGATTTCAGAAAAACACAGAAGCATCATCAAAGATTTAAGGACAAACACTTGAACTATCAGTCCTATTATTTTTCAAAGTTGACTTGTTAGAAACTCAATAAAAGGAAATTCATAACTTAGAACAATGCAGTGTCAAAAATCTGAAACATCCATACATTTTCTTCTTCTTTAGACTAGCAGACTTACATGTCTGAAATAAAAACACGTTACAGATCTCATTTAATGACTTCCGTGTTGCACAGTTATTGCCGAAATTACCATTCAAAAAGCTAAATTTGCAAGATGGGTGACCAATGAAAGTAGCATTGAAAACACTAAATTACAAATACAACACAAAAAATGTAAAGTTACAGTGTAAATCCATATTTACTGATTTTTCTTTTTTTTTTTTAATTTTTATTTTAGCAATATTGTACAGTTAAACACATCTAAGTATCTACAATTTGGTTTTGAACTGGTTAAAGTAAGATTTAATACTTTCAAGGGGAGCAAATGTTGCCTAATGCTTTCTTACTAAAAGTTATCACAAATCAAACAAGATTGGATTTTTAAGTACTTAACCCTTTCAAAATGATCTAGCTTCCAACCCTACACTCAGGAAAAAAACAAAACTGATACTGTCTGTGTGGAAGTAATGAAGCTTGAGCCCACAAACAGTTAAAGATAATTTGGTTTTATCAACTGAGTTAATGATGTAAATGAGAGTTTCTAAAGCTGACATTCTGAGCATTAGCTCTTTGCCCAGGTGAAAAATGAAGGGCTCAGTCAAACTATTTGCTTTTTTAATTCTCTTCTATGGTCAATTTATATTATCGCCTCATATTTGTTCACGATCCTGGCAGTAAAAAGCACTATTTAAGTAACAGTGAAAATCAGGCCTGAGTGGGATTTGAACCACTGACCTCTGTGATACAAGTGCAGCGCTCTACCAATTGAGCTAACAAGCCAACTGAGAGCAGGTGATCATATTAATTCAACATAAACCAGTGAGATGATAAATCAAATACGACAAATTATATGAATTCATATATCTGAACACCTCAGTTGATAAAACCAAATTATCTTGTAATACCCCCCTAACGACACAGCACCAGTTTCTTTCTTGGAAACTTACCCCACTTAAAACCCTAACAACAGTTAGTGACCCGAGGTCTTTTACTCTGCCAACAGGGTAACTTTCTGGACACAGTGGAAGATCGGGAACCTTTTCCACATTTTCCATCCTATTTAGAACCTATACATAAAAACAAACCCTTTCATTTCACCTACACAACCTTTGTGCAAGGTGATCTCAAAAAATCACACCGAAATTAAGTACTGGGGCTGGAAGACTATCGATAAGAACCTCTGTCTCTCTAACTAAGAAGTTACTGAGTAGATCTATTGATGAAAGGCTCCCAAGGAAAGTGTTGAGTTCCAATCAGTACAGAGCTTTGACCATTCTCTTGTTTTACATCAACCATCCACTCAGATGCATTGGGCAGATAACTCAGTTTTTACAACTGACTCAACCGAAATGTTATACTTTTTACAGCAAAATGCCATTCTAAAACTATGTCTACTTACAAAAGGGTTGACTCCAAGAATAAGTGCTGAGAGAGGTTTCTGCCAATGGGCTACCAGCAGAGAAAATTGTTTGCTAGGTAAGAAGGAAAATGCTTTTCAGTGCTGGCCAGATTTCCATTATCTTTCTCTGGTTCACCACTATAGCTAGTGCTGCTACTGCCAAAAACTCCATCAAAATAGTCCTAGCAGCTAGTAGTTACATGGTTGAGTGAACTGAATTGGGTGAAAGCTGACTACAGTGTCCCTATTTCTCCTATGAGTAAAAAATAATACAATGCAAAAAAAAGTCACTGCAAGTAAAAATCTATCCTGACAAGTCTCCAGCACCAAATTTCAGTTCATCATATCCTTCAGCTTTGATAACTCTGCCACCAAACCATCTCCCGTTCAAAGCATTGGCAGCTTTATCAGTTTCTGAAAAGAAAAAAATTTCACTATCAATTCATCTTTCACTTGAATTTTGATTTGAAGCATGGTTATGGTGTTGAACATAATATGATCACAATTTTTCATAGTACGTATGATGTGCGATCCTCGCAGCAGATAGCGCTATTTATGCAATAGCGAAAATCAGACCTGAAAAAAAACTTTCACGGGTTTATTACGAATCAACTTAACGGCCTGCTCCCAGTTGGCTTGTTAGCTCAATTGGTAGAGCGCTGCACTAGTATCGCAGAGGTCAGTGGTTTGAGTCCCGTACAGGCCTGATTTTTTTCAGGTCTGATTTTCGCTATTGCATAAATAGCACTATCTACTGCCAGGATCGCACATCATACGTATCTAATACCGCAGTTCAAAATATATGAACCTCATATATTCATTGCATCTCAATTTTTCATAGTCTTCTTAAAAACAAGGTGGAAACTGTTCATCTACAGTACACGTAGAACCCTGTGTAGTTGAACTCCCACAGGGAAACAAAAAAATATTTCTTCCAGTTAGAGAGAATTCTACTGTATTGGTAATCACACAAATTACAACACCTACAAATGAGTTCCTCTATTCCAGTTTAGTTTAATTTCAGAGCTGAGCAAAGAGTTTCAAGCAATCTGATTGGTCAAGTGGTTCCTTATATGGCGCTATATAAACCGCTCCACGCGGTTTATATAAAAAGTTAAAATAAAACGTTAATAGATGTTACTAAAATGTTATGATTTTAGAAATTTCCCTGTTGTTCAGCTGTGAAATTATACTAAAACAATTATTCGCCTCAGGTTCACCTTGCCTTCAGCGAATAATTGTTAAATATAAATACCAGAATTTCTAGTTACCTGAAGGTTGATTGAACTCCACAAATATCTTTACAATGACTTCAGCATCCTCTTCCTCCCCCTGTTTTTCATTATAAATCACCACTCTGCTGACCACTCCAAACTTGCTACACTCGTCTGTCACCTCTTGCTCCAGTTCTTCATCCAAATCTTCCACTCCTACCATGTTTCGCAGTACCAGAACTTTTGACTGAAACAACCAAATGGCTCAATTTTTAATGCTTTGCTTACTTCAGAGAACTCGTGCAAGCAATCAGCTCGTGCGAGACTCTCGGTTGAAGGAAATAGCAGAAACGCAGGTCCAGAAAATCAATGGAAGGTTCAGGAAAAGGAACAAATAAAGATAAGAGTCTGTAAAAACTGTTGACCTGAGAAGTGCAATCACTTTCTGTCACATCCCAGTTTCATGCTTGTAACCACTGACCGAGAGCCTGAAACAGGCAACTGCAAATATTTGTTCTCAAGCAAATCTGCTGTTTTGCACACTCACAACTGAGATCATTGCCACAAATAGCACTCACCTCACTTTTGCGAGACAGTTTCTGCATGACCATATATCTGGCATTACTACCAGATATTGACATATTCTCCTCGTGACTTATGCTGCTCTCTGCCACTTTTCTCTGTGTCTCTTCTTCAATCTTAGCACGCACCTCTGCCTGCTGTGCTGCAATCACCTGGGCTGATTGCTGCTGCAGCTGCTGTTGTTGTAACTGCTGTTGCTGTACAAGTTGTTGTTGCTGCTCAAGAAGTTGTTGCTGTTGAATCTGCAGTTGCTGAACAGCTGCTGACTGGACTGGGAGGCCTGTTGTGGTTACCACAGGTGTAGCAGGCACTGGCGTAACGACTGCTGTTGGGGGACCTGAGAATAAAACAGTAAAATACTGATTCATAATCAAATCAAATGAGTGACTCACAATTGTGGCTTCTAACTGCAGAGTGGGTTTCCTTTTTCTAGAGGAGCAGTTTTTTGGCTATTAACAACTGGAATTACTAAAAAAGATGGATACAAATCAGGTAGGTGGGTTTGGGAGAGGAGGGGAGGGGAGGGGAGGGGAGGGAGAGACATTACCTGCTAGTAGTGCTGTAGATGCTGTCATAATTGGTTGTGCTGCAATACTTGTTGACATCACTCCTGGTGCAAGAGTGCCTGGGGCAAGGGTTCCAGCTGCCATTGTCGGTAGAGCAACCAGGCCTGCTGTACCCACTATGGAAGTGATCACTGTACTACCAGCAATTGTAATGGCTGGGACTGGGATGAAAGAATAAAAAATAAGAAATAAAAAAAAAAAATCTCAATTTTTGTCACTTCTGCATAGATTTTGGTTCTTGGATTCTGGACATTTTGGACCTAAAAATTTTACAGTTTATAAAATTTCTTTTGATTCCTGATATTTTAAAGCCTTCTTGTTTGGGCTTTTTGGGCAAGTCTCTTATCTTAACTAACAGACTAATTTACACCTCCTAACAGATTTGTCTGATAAACCTTTTACAAGGCAAGGTAGAAATCTTATTACTTAAGGTGTCGAGCACGAGGTCATTTATAAAAATACTAAAAGGTCCCAGGCTCATGGAAGGAATTTGACTTTGTCAGACAGTTTGTCCAACTAATTCAGTTGATGTCAATTTTAGACTTTTTGGGAGTTGAAAATTTTGTTGAAAAACCCTTATAGTGAAGCATTTTGCTGAATTTACCAATTATCATTAACTCTTGAAAATCCATCTGCCCCAAATCTGGCTTCACTTATGAATCTGGAAAAATTTCCTGATCCTTACATGTACTTGTCAGTCCCTGCTCCTGAGCTTGTATCTTTGCTGATACTGCAGCAGCAGCTAAAGCAGCTGCAGGTGGCAATGTACCATTACTGGTCTGTGCCGAGGCTGGGGGTGTGATTGCTCGACCTACTCTCAAGTACTGTCCTCCAAGATCGAACAAGTTCATTGAAGCTATGGCATCAGTGGCTGACTGTTGGTTTTCATATTCTAAGAAGCCATAGCCCTTGTGCTTGCCAGGCATGGTGTCTGGGGCAAGAGTGCAGCTGCGCACTTTACCAAATGCTTCAAATACACTACAGTGCAAAGCAAAAAACAGACAATAAATTTGTGCACAAGAAAAATAGAAAACCAAATGCTTCAAATACACTAAAATGCAAGGCACCAAGCAGACAATGATTTTTTGCACAAGAAAAACAAAAAATCAGACTTCACCTATTGGAAAGACTACTTTTCTTACTCAAAGACTAAAATCTTCGAAAATAGGAAAAAAGAACCACTGTAAAAGGAGTCTGAACCAACATACATGTAAACTTGAATCATGTTACAATCAAATATTTTGAATGCAATCACCTTTTAATGTCATCTTCAGCCAAATCAGCATGAACAGAGGCCACATAGATTCTTGCATACTTCTTAGCTTCCTGCTCGAACTGCTCAATCAGTGGTGCTGCTTGCGGCACATTGCTCGGACGACCCACCTAGTGAAAAGACAATGAGAAGTTTCAATTCATGTTTAAAGGTAGTTAGCATCACTTGCAGTGCAAATGACTCTTAAAATATCCATACCTACACCATGCATACCTCTACCTTATTTTTCCAAAATAATAGAGAAACAAACTACTTTATAAAAACTACCCTCATTAGCACGAGCAATTACAGCTTCAAAAAAGGCTTAGGGAGTAATCACTAACCTTTATGTTTCTCCCTCCAAGAAGAACGCCATTCATTTGTTCCAAAGCAAGCTGGGCTGCCTCCGGTAAGTCATACTCCACAAATGCAAAACCCTAGATAGAATACATCTCCTTGTAACTTCACACAAGGTTTTTGCTAACATATACAGCACAAACCAGAAGAACAGTTCAAAAAAAAAAAAAAAAAAAAAAAAAGGAGCTCTATAGTGTAGGTCTGAATAAAAAACAACTCTGGCCACAGAAAGTCACTCATGGAATTCTGTGTCACCTTGCAATCATTTGTACACATAAAAAAAAATCCCAATATCTGCCTTTGCAGTAATGTCACGAACAGTTTGGTAAGCACTGTTCTCCAATTGTCAGTATGCTGGAATTTGATAAACAGGTTTTACACTTTTTAAGTTTCATGCCTCCTCAGCCCATCAACTCAAGCAAAATTTCAAATTATGGATAAAAACCAGAAATCTTGCTTCTCTAACTTTTTAAATTTTGATATTAAATACGGCTTCAGGCCTGTTACGTTACCTGGACTTTCAAAAAACAGGCCTGAAGCCCAAAAAAGTTACTGGGACTAATGATTAATGGGCCCTGGTTTGTTAACTGAAGCCAAACATACCTTATGCTTCATGGTCAAAGGATCCCAGGACAAATCTATCTTTTTTATGGGACCAAAGGGGATGAATGCTTGTCGAACATGTTCCTCGCGGAGTTCAAAATTGATGCTTCCCACATACACTCTGAAGATGAAAGAATATTAAATACATTACTTCTTAAAGAAAAAAAAAATGTCAAACATCTGTTATAAATGAGGCAGTGCAACAGTGGAACTGAATTTGTTTCCCTTTTGGAAGCTGTTGAGTTTTTTAGGAAGTGTTTAACAAAGATGAAAAGTCAAAATGTTGACAGTATTTAAGTAACTCGGCAGCTTCAAAGAATGATGGAATTAACGACCTGCTCATGCACTATAGCAGCTTGAAACAAACTCATTTACACCAGCATTTAACATTGATATAAGACATTTAAAGTTACCTGTAATAACTTTTTGTAAATCATTTTGCCAAATGTTGAAAATGACTTGAAAATGTGCTTTAATTGATGCATAATATTGATATGCATTCTACCTTAATTATTCAGTTTTCTTTTTTGCTCAATAATATTCATATTTCCAATAATCCGGAACTCTAAATTATCCTGACTATTCAGGCCAGTCCCCACAAGTTCAAATAATTGAGGTTTGACTAGTCACACAATTGGCTCCTCAATCTACCTGCACATCAGAGCTAATGCTCTCTGTCTTTGGGCAGCTGTCTGTAGCGCAGACATCTGCTGCTGTTGGAGAGCTTGCTGTTTCGCCAATACCTGTAAGACAAAATGAGTATGGTCACAGGAAAATAGATACAGGTTGTAATATCAAGGATTTGTATAGATTCTGTGAAAAGATTCAATCCTGTTTTTCGAATTTTCCAGAGTTAATCTTGACACTTTCGAGACAAAACTGTATTATGTGAAAATATGGCATGAGAAAAAAGAAGTGGCAAAAGGCTTTGGCCATGGCAATTTGCATATAATCATTTTCCTTCCACAGATCTAGGCCAGCAATTGAGTACTCACATTAAAGCTAGCATTTCACTTTCTGCAGTTTTCCAGGCTTAAACATTTTACCACTTTCAAAGAATTCAATACTCTGTATGAATTTAATAATATAATAATAAAGATTGATTTCTATAGGGCATTTCCATGTAAAATGGTCTAATGTGCTTTACAACACTGTGTGGGGACTTTTTCAGACTGCGAGCAGCAGTTTACAATTAATAAAGGAGAAATTTTATAGCTGCCCCCTCCCCCCATTCCCAGTAAACAGGCCAGACCACATCACAGTAATCTCGTGATGTGGTTTCTTTAACGTCCCCTGCCGAAATTAACTAATTGATAGGTGCAGGAGACGGGACCTCCGGCTTTACGTCCTATCCAAGACGACGAAGCAATGTGAGCGAAGCATCTTGCTTAAGGACACAACGTCAAGCCCCAGCCAGGACTTGAACCCAGGCTAACTGACCCAGAGTCCAGCGCACTGACCACTGAACTACTAACGTCTCACAACTCTCAATTTGATAAAAACTACAGTATATCTAAAATTCATTCAATGGCTGAGAGCAGTGGAGAGGAAGGATATTTATCTAACTCATTATCTGAATTATCGAGACCTTGGGGGAACTTGTCTGCATAGCAATTCTTAAGTTGGAGTAGCTGTATGCAAGAGTAGCATTGACCACAACAGCAGATGATGAAAAAAAGAATAATGGAACAGAGAACTCTTGGCCCAAATTTTTCAAGCAATTCAACCTATACTACAACACCAAAAGATTTCATGTTTGAATATCTCACTTGTTGGACAGACTGTTCCATTGCAAATCTCTTTGCTTTCTTGAGCATCTCCTCCTGTTGGTAGGTTAGAGGAGGCAATGCCCTTTTCACTTCTGAAGGGCGTGGCTGCATACCACCTGCTCCTGGCCCAATAACAAGCTCTCCATTTGATCCATCATCAATGGGTTGATCTTCTACATCACCACTTGCTGCACCAGCTCCAGGTGATTCTATGGGATAATTACACAGCATCATGAAGATATCGATGATAAACCTATGACCACCCTTGTGTTTAATCGGGGTTCCATCGAAAAGCACACCTTCTGAGGTTAACTTTAGTCATGAGGCATCAACAATCAAATTTGTCAAATATTGATCCAATGTCAGCCAAAAGAGAAAGTTTTGGGTCTAAACATTTTTAACCACTCGTCCGTGTGTCCGTCAATGCGTCAAAACAAAGGATCGAGAAAAATTCCCTGTATCCTTTCGGATAAAATTACTCCCTTGCAACAGGTTTGTATTTGATGATAAATGTAAGTCTCTTCCGCAAAAGTAACAGAGTACTGTTAGATTATCTTTTCATTACAGGCATAAATAATTTTAAACCAGTATACACTTGTTTTACCACCAAAGATTGAGTCAGTGTCATGATGATTATCCTGGCTTCAAGCCAAAGCGGCACTGGCTAACTTGATTTGGATGCAAAAGACAAAAAACAGAGAAAGAGAAAAAAAGAGAGAAAGCAAACAGAAAATGTTATCATCCATCTACACTGTATTAATACAACCACCGTAAAAAAAAAAAAGAATGAAGATTTATAACAAGTTACTAAATGTAGAATGAAGAGTACTCTTGCTCCAGCTTCTACAGACATTTTTTTTTAAGTTAAACAGGATTTTAGGACATTGCTATTAGTTAAAGAAGCTTTTCATTTATATTCAAGTTCTCTTGTAGTATACAAAATTTGGAGATTCTATCAAATTTCCAAATGTGTGCAGTATTCTATTGTTTTGATAATCAGTGGATTCTGCTTTTGTTTACAGCTGTTGCTGGGGAAGCAATAGCTAAAAGCCTTGTAAACAGCAACATGAAAATTTAAGTTTTCTCACTGTTTGAAAACTTTGAGCCCAAAATTTCAAACACAATGTGGATTTAAAAGAGAATCTGATTTCAAATGCATTGGCATCAGCTGCACCAGATGAAACCGAGAAAAATTGGGTTGGTCTGTTTTCTCTATTCTTCAACTGCCTGTACATGTTCTGCTTATGCTTTCAAGATAAAAATACAGAGGTGAATAAATAATATCACAGAGAGTTCAGGTACATTTAGGAGACAAAGCTTTGCACTCTTTCATAAGCATTATTGATAATCTATATCAAAGACCAACAAACCTCCTCCAGGCCCAACATCAAAGCCTCGTTTCCGTCGTCTCCTTTGGCTACCATCGCTTTCACCATTTGTCTTCTCTTCAGGTGCTTGAGCACCCAACTGATCGACCTAAAGAATACCAAAATGTTTAGTGAATACCAAAATGTTACCTTATTATAGGAATATAACGAAGCATGTTAATAACGCGAACAAACTTTACGCGACATAATATAACGCAAATTTTCCAAAAGTTATGTTTACATACATTTAATTAACGCGAATTTCCGTGCAGTATGTTGCATAATTAAGACGTGAATTTAATAATTTTCGCACTCATTTCGTTAGAAAACAACAACGGCCAACAACAAAATTTGCTCTTTATTTCCGGCAAAAAACATAAGAAATGAAATGGGATGACAACAATGCGATAGACATTTTGCGCAAGAAAGTTGAAGAAGTGAGTTATCCCCTCAGAGAAGACGACCGCTACACTGATGAATCTAAGGACATTTTGAACTTAATATTAAAGGATGATGCATCATCCGACTCTGACGGTGACGTAGAGGAATTGTAACTTTACTTACAATAAAGGTGTCTTTAAATAACGATGCTTTCAATTAAAGTCATTTTGATTAAAAACGAGGTAATTTAAGATGCATAAAATTAACACGAATTTTTGAAATTCGCATTAATTACATGCATTATTAATTTCCTATAATAAGGTATTTATAAGTTGGTCCCAGTTGTTTAAAGGATGGATAATGCTATCCAATGGAAAAATCTCTATCCAGTGGATAGCACAGTACCTTTTGTTAACCCTTTAACTCCCAGATGCGATCAACAAGTAACTTCTCCCTAAAATATTCATGCACTATCCCGCAAACAGGCAACAAGAACACTCACACTGATCAAGTAGAAGTTATACTCTTGATCTACCCATAAATTCTTACAATTAATGCATAAAGAAATGTCTGGCACATAGAGGGGAGCATTCACAATCACATCTTGGGAGTTAAAGATTACCACTTGCCTGCTGGATAGCAATACATCCATTGCATAGCATTATCCACTCTTTGAACAACTGGACACTTCGACTTTAAATCGTAGGACAAACGCACGATTTAACTTTCATCTATTTACTTCCTGTTTGCTGAAGCTTAATATCGTAATGATCTTAAGTAAACATTTGGTATTACTACTCAAATAGCAGTGCAGAGGATAAACTAAAAATAAAAGCCGTTAACATCATCTTAAACAGTTATTTCGCCGAGGGTCAGCTGATTACTCGAACACTCCCTGAGATCAGACCGGGAAAGCTGCAACAGTCTTGGAAGTTTATGTTATCTTTACTTCTTATCGCCAAATATATAGTTTTTACATATACAATATGGGCTCAGCTTTCAAATTAGAGATGAAAGAAATTAAGATATACAGCACTACACAAACGGATAAAAAAATATATCCAGATTAAACCATCAATAATTTCGCTCACGATTTCAAACAACACGAGGATCAAAATTATTCTTGTACATGTTTGAGCCGCGTTACAAATGCATGTCAAAAAGTGCCAATTTTGGTCAGTTCAATCAAGGGCTAAACTTCAGAATACCCGGCCACTCATTTACATGTCATTGAATAAGAATAGCATCTACTGTGTTATGCCTCATTCTTCAAAGCCTCCCGACACATGTAAATGATGTGGACGGGTATTCTGAAGTTGCTCCAATTAGTGAATATAATTCCGCTTTTTGTACCTTTCCGTTCAAGCTTTCTTGAGATGGAACCTCAACAGTCGCGGCCGCCATGACTCAACGTGTGTGAAGGAAGAAGAATAAGGCATGCTGGGGAATTTAGGGACTGATGTTACTTCTTTCCTTTCTTATAATTGGTTCACCCTTCTACCAATCATCGTATTTTTTTTATCTTAAAATAGTTTGAAATAAGAATGTCTGCCATTGGTTTGATATTTTTCACCCAATCAGACACTTTGTACTTTTGCTGCCAGATAGAAAGTGTTTCCGGGAAAAGTATGGCGTTGAGCGAAGTTATATTTCGAGTGCCGTTTCTTGTCCTTTTAGAGTGGTTCCTTTGCGTGGATATCACAAATTACAACGACTGGACGCCTTATGCAAGATTAATGCAGCTATTGGGTAAGTTTTATCACATTTTTATTTCATTTTACGTGTTTTCTAAAGATCTTATGCCGTGGTGTCGGTGAGTTTATACCTAGTTTGTTGTTACGTTTTTTGTCGAATTTAGTTATTCTAAGCGCATAGATACACTGATCTATCATCCTAAACTTCCAGTCCGTTGACCTTTCCCTATAATTTCTTTATGAGCTTGGATCCATTAACAGGAGGTGGTTAATCGATCAGCCCTGTCTCTTTGAGTGTGTGTTTACGTGAGCAGGCAGTCTTGGAAAACTCCTGCTGTCGGACGAATAGACCTTTGGCCAAAGTCCCTTTTTTCTTTCAGCTTTTAGTTTTCCTTTATTAAGAATTTTATATGGTGTGGTAAATTAAAGCTCATTGCATTTAATCCAAACGCCATTCCGTGGACCATTCTAAAGTGATACAATCTACCCATATGTACTTTAAAATGTCCCGGTTAATAAATATACCTTTTTCACTCTCTCTTGGCCATGATGTTTTTGCTGTAGTTTTCGTTTTTGAATGTCAAAACATATCTTAAAGGGAATGCTGAATCATTTTGTTTTCATGCATTTAATACTTACTATTGTAATAACTACAGGTGTTGATTGTTATTAATTATTAAGTATCATTATTTTCTAATGATATATAAATGGATACCAATAATTGAATAGTCCAACCCTTAAACTTTCATAAGTGACCAAGAGAGAATTTTTCCTCACAATATTAACAGGGCTGGACACTAACTTTTCAACTTACTAGCCAAGTGGCTAGTGACATCCTAGATGTTTTTAGATGTTATGACAATTTCAGTCTGTTTACTAGCCAAACTGGCTCGTGGAAATTGAAAACCACTAGCCAAAACTGAATTTCTACTAGTCTGTGGCTAGTGGGGTACCATTAGTGTCAAGCCCTGATCAAGCAGACGAATGATGAAGATAGAGAAAAAAATTCAACATTTGGATTATTAGTTGATCCTATACCACATTCTCTAAACTAACATGATAAGAATTGTATGCCAGACAGTAATGAGAATTTCTAATGTGATCTTAGGAAAGAGAGGGTTAATAAGAGAAGAAAATATTCTTTGTCAGGGGGTCTGACTGTAACAGCAACTTATGCCAATGAAGCAGTTTTGTCACATTTTTTTATTTTAGGAATTGTGTTGTGTTTGGTACTGTCCCTTCTTGGCCGGGATGAACTCATCAATTTCTACAGCCACTCTCTTTTCATCACAGTGGTGACATTAATGCTGTACTTGAATGCATACAATAGTTTGAATCTGTGCAATGCTCTGGAGGAACAAGGTCTCTCAAAATTAATTACAGAGGATGGTGCAGTATTACTGCTGTTAATGATAGCTGGAGCTTGGATAGTCTACTTAATATCGTTAGCAATGTATTCGCGAGTGTTCAATTCCTTCAAACCGGTTATGTTTTCAATGGCAGCATTCCCTGTTATGTTACGGCACATGTCGGCTTCAAGTCAGAAGGACGATCCACCCATGTGGCTCTGCATTTGCTTTGGTTTTGCATTTTATTTGGCAATAGCAGGCATTTATCAATGCATTCATGATGTCGTCTCCCATTTTATTACATCAGTACAAATTATCCAGTGGATGTACAGAATGTATGGGTTGACTGTCACAGTGGTATTTCACTGGCGCAGAGTGAAAGTTCCATTCTGCATGATGACTCTATGGGGGATATTATTTCTGTACAACAGTTTGAGTTTTTTGCTGTTCTCCAGTGAATCAGTGACAATTTTGCAGCTGTTTAATTTAACAATGGCCTTAACTTGCAATTCTGTCCTCTCAATGACATCATGTTGTTTCATAATTTACAAGCTGTCTGGGTACATACTGAATATAGTGAAACGCTACCATCATGAGGACAACATAGCACCGCCTGGTGATCCATACAGTTCTCCAGATGGTCTGAGAGAAGGTTTTGGATTCTTCTTCCTCGGCCTTTACACTGGACTTTCAAGTTCAAAGATAAGTAGAAAGCTTGTGCTCTTGGAACTGATTTTTTATCTAATCATTTCAGCCTTGGCAAGATCAATGTTTGAAATAACTGAGCCAGTTCTCTTGGGACTTGCATCACAGCCAAGCATCATCTACCGCAAACACTTACGAGTTTTGTCATTCTGTGTTTCCCTCCTGGGAGCATCTATTTATCTGGCAGTAAATTTGTACTTCTTAAAAGAAAAAATTCCTTTTATTACTCCAAATGTTATTACCATCGCTCAGATAATTGCTGCACTTGTATTGTATTTTTTGTATGTTTATGAGTCACGTCAAACTCAAATATGGGAAGAACTGGATGACTATGTGTACTTCATCAATGGCTCCTGCAAAGTTTTTGAGTTTGTGGTCATCTCAGCCGTTCTCTTCTACAGAGTTTGTGACTTCAGTTTAGAGTGGACGCTGTTTCAGATCGTTATGGCAGTGCTGCATCTTTACTTTAATATCTGGACTCCAGCAAAGGAAGGTTGGCTAAGTTTAAAACAGCGTCATCAGGTGAACCAAAAACTGAACTCATTGCCATCAGCAACAGAGAAGGAAATTGATGAACTTGAAGATGTTTGTTCTATCTGCTTGGAGGAGTTGAAAGCTGCAAAAGTAACCCCTTGTAGACATTATTTTCACAGTTTATGCCTTCGAAAATGGTTGAATGTCCAAGACAAATGCCCTATGTGCCATACAGCTTTGCTATCACTTTGAAAGTAGACACATTCTCCCTGTACTTGTTTTCAAACAAGGCACATTTCACAGCAAGTCTCTCATTTCATCCTATACCCAGTTGTTGCTACAGTCTGAATCTCTCACTGCTTTTAAGCGCGCTATTCGTAATATTACTGTGTAGATGAGACTAAAGACAATGATATATATGCATGTGCGTAGTAATTTTATAAATTTTTTTCTTATTTATATATTTTGCTGTATTTCTTAAATGTTAATTATACTCGGAGATACTAGCTCTCTTGAGCTATTCTAAATCCGAGTTTAAATAAAGTTATATGTTTGTATGTATGTATGTAGTCAGTCTCAGGAATTCTAGTTTGAATTTTGCTACTAAAGGCCTGGCACATCAGGCAAATTGTCACAGCAACTACTTGTTCTACATGTTGTTTCAGTATGCACAGGAGGAGGACAAAGGGGAGGGGGGGTAGTTGCAGAAACTGGTGTGGTTTGTTGTCAATATCTCGTCATGACCTTTCAAGTTATTATTGTAACAGGGTGAGTTACAACTGACATTCAAAAGATATGCAAAATTTATGATGTACTTCTTGATTACAGGGCAAGCTCAAAGGACAAAAGCTATTTGACACTGTTTTTAATCTGTACTACAACATATCTAAAAGAGAAGAAGGACTCACTGATTTTGTAAAACAGTGGTTTGGGTTAGACCTGGTGTAAATAATTAACTGGCCCAGTAAGTGTACTGAAGATAAAGATAAATCAAAAATTATTATTGAACATAGACAGGTAAAAACGAACGATATAATATCCCGATGTTTCGGTGACTTCATGACGCCATTATCAAGGGTACAAATGAAAATAAAATTAACAAATGCGAGTTCAAGAGTTACAACTAATTTGCAACAATGAAAAACAGGATATGAATAAACAGGATATGAATTGTGATGATTATAATTTTTTTGATTGTGGCTTTCATTCTAACAATGGTAACAATATGTCACAAAATTGAACTGTTCATATATGTACTTTGGCAGGCTGAGTACATCATACCTTTCGACCTCGGGGTTTTAACAGCCAGGGTAAGTTATCTTTGTTTGAATATTTCTGATGAATTGGCCAATAACTTTTTGAGCAATCACTGATGATCATAATTAGTTCTATAAAATTAATATCTATTGAACAAACAGATTCCTTGTTGCTCTATGTCTGTTCAGTAACAGATCAGAGTTGGCAACAAAATGTGGTAAGAACATAAAAGTGGAATGTGAGATACAGTGGGTTGTGTCACTGATTTTCTTACCACATATTGATGTCATCTGTGACCTCTATTTGTTATTTAGTTCTTATTAACCGAGCAGGAGGTCTCTATGGGAGAATCTTGACCGAGGGCGCCAGTACAGACCGAGGTCAAGATTCTCTCATACAGATCGACTTAGCTTGGTTAATAAGATGTTTATTATATGGCTGTGTGTTATATGCCATTTTTTATATTCTTTGTACCTTTTTTTCTAGACCGGTCTAGATGCCGGTCTAGATGGGAAAATCTAGACCGCTTTCAATATTGATTTCAGCCAATCAAATTCGTGAATTCAGTAGTTCCCAGTCCTTGTGAGACACAGCCATATAATAAATAGCTGGCATTGCCTCAAGGTAAGATGAAGCAAATTTTGTGCTCTGATTGGCAACCTGAGTGGGCGAGATGGGCCCATCTTGCCCACTCAGGATTGCCCACTTTGATCCCGCACAAGAAAAAAAGGTGCATGAAGCAGACTTACAAGGTTATAATTTTTGGACAAAGTCCACAACAAAGCCACAAAAAGAAGCAGAAGACAGTCAAAGCAAAGAAAAAATTAATCAACCCTCTTGGCATTGTTGTGCTACAAACACAGTTGGCTATCTTTCCCGGCCCTTGAAATAAAGAAGTCATTCTTAATTCTTATTATTAAAGCAAAAATGTTTTTGTGTTTTTGCTCTATAATCATTCCCTTATTGACCAAGCCTGTTAGGTCAAGATGGCTGGAAATTAGCCTTATTCTTTTTCCGCATTTTTATGGACTTTGACTTCATCTCGGTCCAAAAGTCTCAGTCCTTAAACTCATTAAAAAAAAAAAAAAAAAAAAAATGCTCGGTCAATAATGCACATAGACCGACCCATACCATCTTGGAATCTATTTGTTTTATATTATAGATAGCAAAATGTTGTTAATGATGAGGTCATCCATGTCTATTCTCCAATAGATTATAGGTAACAACCAATCAAAATGTCTGTAATCTTCAGCTTGTCTTAAAATAAAATGATTGCTATTTGTTATGAATTTATGCTACACGGAACTGTTTGGTGTCACAACATGAAAAAATAACCTGTACAGTGTTTCTCTGAGCTCCTGATACAAACTTAAGATATTCAAAATGCTAGGCAAAGATTTATGGTACTAGAATTGTATACAGTTTGTTGTGCGTATTGCATCAAGATACCTATCAATGTTGGGGGAAATAATTATGAGCTAGCAATGCTAAGTAAAATTTAGTGTACATATCCCAAGGAAGATACTTTAAAAGAGCAAAAAATACATGTTGTAAGTATTCTTTAAGTAACGGGATCTATTTTATTAGCACTAGTAAGATTATGGATATTAGATTAACAAGTAAGAAACAATAAAAGCAAGTTTATTTTTTAATGCAGATTCTGTTTTCTCAATTTTGTGTTCTAATATTCAAGGGTTTTATGTTTTGGACATTACCAAGGTGTTTTATGAATGTTTCCTTAACAACTATGAATAACGCAGTTAGATGTTGATCTTCATATGTCCAGTTAGTAAGAACTGAGTGGGCATGCCCTGTTGCAAAACAAGACTACTCTCTGAAATGTGATTTCCAGCATTCTGGCTCATATTTGAGTGTTTTTTTTTTTTAAGCCAGGCAGTGGTGTCTTTCATCACAGTTAGCAATGAAAGTAGCCACTGCAAAATGTTCTGACAGCTGGTAGTTCTCTGCTGCTTAAAGTAAGGTAAAGTCTGTTTACGATCCTAGTGGCCCATTAGGCTGGTGCTTAACTCCAGTTTCTGTAGCATGAAGCAACTAGGAGTATTTCTACTCCCCCCTGGATGGGATGCTAGTCCATTGCAGGGTTACCCCCAGCATTAAATTGCCGGTACCCATTTATACACATGGGTGAAGAGAGGCACCGTGAGAGTAAAGTGTCTTGCCTACGAACACAACACAATGTCCCGGCTGGGGCCCTAACCCGGACCACTCGATCCGGAGTCGAGCGC